TAAACTCAATGGAAATTACTCAATCATGTTCTTATAATTTTAAAAAAAACTGGGTTCCTTAGGATAAAATTTTCAAAATTTTCTCAGAATAGAGGCACAAGAAATTACTTGAGAACAAGTAATGAGACAAGTAATAATGGAACTCCCCTCATACTTAAAGCAAAACATTGTCCTCAATGTTTAGAGGGAAAAAAATAGAGATGAAGATGACAAGAGAAATAAAGAGTAAGATACTCCCTGAATGTGAGACAAATTGCGTAGAAAAGCCACCCTGTTCTAAAAAAACAAGAACACTAAATAAATAAAAGTGAAAAATAAAACACAGGTTGCCTCCTGTGAGCGCTTATTTTACGTCACGAGCCTGACGTCCTATTAGACTATTGTAAGAACGTAGTTTGTTGGGTGAAGGTCACTCCATCTGTGTCTAGCTTGGCCCTCTGACCATTGACTTGAAACGTCTCTCTCCCAGCTATAAAAACTTCTAAGACCTCATAAGGAAGGACCTTGAGTACTGTATAAAGGCCATTGCACCTGGACTTTAGTTTTGCAAGGAATAATCGCAGTCGTGAGTTGTAGACTAACATTTTTTCTCCTTCATAGAACTTACGATGTAAGATATGCTTGTCATGCTACTTCTTAGTGTGCTCCTTGTACAACTTGGCATTCTCGTATGCCGTAAGGTGCATCTCATCGAGCTCATTCAGCTCTAATAGTCTTTTCTCACCTGCAGCCTGCAAATCAAAATTAAAGAACTTCAACAGGTAAGTGACAAGCTTTTCCACAAATCAAACGATAAAGAGACATGCCAATAAGAGTTTTATAGGCAGTATGATAAGCCCAAAGTGCATCATTTAATTTTATAAACCAATCTTTTCTAAAACTATTAAATGTGCGCTCCAAAAAAATTTTCAACTCCCTGTTAGATACCTCAACTTGTCCACTGGTTTAAGAGTAGTAAGGAGTAGTGACCTTGTGGGTAACACCATATTTTTATAAGAGATTATCAAAAAGTTTATTACAAAAATAAGTACCTTCATTGCTAATAATTGCCCTAGGGGTTCCAAACCGAGAAAAAATATTTTTTTTAAGAAATTTAGTAACCACCCTAGCATCATTAGTTGGTAAAGCAGCCACTTCCACCCACCTAGAGACATCATCCACAACAACCAATATGTATTCATTATTAAAAGACTTAGGAAAAGGTCTCATAAAATCAATACCCCAAACATCAAATATTTCACAAACTAAAATATTGTCGAGGGGCATATCATGTCTTCTAGAAATATTACCACTCCTTTGACATTCATCACATGATTTCACAAAACCATAAGCATCTTTAAAAATTGTAGGCCAATAAAAACCACTTTGCAAAACCTTATGAGCAGTTTTAGTGAGGCCAAAGTGGCCTCCCACCTCTCTAGAGTGACAATGCTCAAGAATTGCAATAAATTCACTTTCAGGAACACATCGTCTAATTAAATTATCCCCACAAACTTTGAACAAATAAGGCTCTTCCCACAAGTAGTATTTATCATCAGATAAAAATTTTCTCTTTTGTGAGGATGAGAGTCCACGAGGAAAGATTTTACCAACCAAGAAATTTACCAAATCCGCATACTAAGGTGCCCTAAAAATATTAAAAATTCTCTCATCAGGGAATGTCTCTTTAATTTCTACCTTGGTGCTCTTCCTCACCGAGGGGTCTAATCTGGATAAGTGATCAGCAATAAAGTTTTTACTCCCTTTTTTATCTCAGATCTCTACATTAAACTCTTGTAGCAAGAGAATCCATCGAATAATCCTTGGCTTAGCATCCTGTTTAGCCATCAAATATCTAAGAGCAGAATGGTCAGTATAAACAATGACTTTAGACATAATTAAATAAGGGCAAAATTTATCAAATGCAGGTATCACAGCTAGCATCTCCTTCTCAGTAGTGGTATAGTTCCGTTGTACTCCATCCAAAGTTCTACTCGCATAATAAATGGCTTGAAAAATCTTGTCCTTCCTCTGGCCCAGAACTACTCCAACAGTTGTGTCACTAGCATCACATATAAGCTCAAAGGGTAAAGACGAATCAGGAGAAATAACCACAGGAGCATCAATTAACTTACTCTTAAGGGTATTAAAAGCATATAAACAAGCATCATTAAATTTAAACAATATACCCTTAGCCAACAAATTAGAAAAAGGTTTTGTATTTTTTTAAAATCTTTAATAAACCTTCTATAAAACTTTGCATGCCCTAAGAAACTCCTAACAAATTTGACACATGTGGAAGGGGGAAGTTTAGCAATAACTTCTACCTTAGCAGGGTCTACCTCTATATCCCTACTAGAAATTTTATGCTCCAAAACAATGCATTCATCAACCATAAACTGACATTTTTCCCAATTTAAAACAAAATTGGCCTTTTTACATCTTTGTAAAATCAAATCAAGGCTATACAAACAATTATCAAAAGTATTACCGTAAACAGAGAAATCATCCATAAAAATCTCAATACAATTTCCAATAAATCAAAAAATAAGGCCATCATGCATCTCTGAAATGTCGCGGGGGGCATTACACAAACTAAATGCCATCCGTTTATATGCAAAAGTACCATAAGGGCATGTAAAAGTAGTCTTTTCTTGGTCTCTAGTGCGAAAGGTGTTTGCATGTAACTCGAATAACCATCCAAACAACAATAAAATTCATGCTCCGTTTATTTTTCTAACATCTGATCAATAAAAAGAAGGGAAAAATGGTCTTTCCAGGTGGCCTCATTGAGCTTCCTGTAGTTTATGCATATTCGCCACCCAGTTACTTTCTTTACGGCAATAAGTTCCTATTGCTCATTCTCCATAATTGTGGTTCCTTCTTTCTTTGGTACAACCTGCACAGAACTCACCCAAGGACTATCAGAAATAGAAAAAATAATGCCAGCATCTAATAACTTAATTAACTCCTTTTTTTACTACTTCCTTTAGACTGGGGTTAAGTTTCCTTTGAGGTTGAACCTTGGGTTTGGATTCCTCCTCCAAGTGAATCCAGTGGGTGCAAATGGAAGGACTAAGACCCTTAATATCATGAATGCTCCATCCAAAGGCCTCCTTGTTCTCCCTCAAGACTCTCATCAATTTCTCCTCCATAATATCTGTCAATTTAGAAGAAATTATTACAGGAAGAGAAGAGGGAGGAGATAGAAAATTATATTTAAGATTAGAGGGAAGAGGTTTGAGCTCTAATTCAGGGGGTTCTTCAATGGATGATTTAGGAATTTGAATATCTCGTGTTCCCAAGCTTTCAAAATACCTAGACGCCAACCATCAACTTCAATTCCCGCTCTCCAAAGTTAAAATTTCATCTATTACTTCCTTTGTTTCTATTAGAGCATCTTTCTCAAGTGTGAGAATTTTCTCTAGAGTATCATCCCTCAACCTATCAATTAATTGTACAGAGTCTAAAGAGGAAAAATAATCATTTAAAGAAATAAAATTACAAGAATAAAAACTATAAGGGTGTTTAAGAGAATCAAAAACTTTAAAAATAACTTCTTCATCATATAGCCTCAATGTGAGCTTCCCTTGCTAGACGTCTATAATGGTCTTTTCAGTGGCTAAGAATGTTCTCCCCAGAATAATGGGAACCTCATTATCCTCCTCCATATCTAGTACAATAAAATTTGCAGGGAAGATGAATTTGTCTACTTTACCAAGACATCTTCTATTATATCCCTTGGGTAAGTGATGGATCTATCTGCTAATTGTAAAGAAATAGAGGTAGGTTTGGGTTCTTGCATACCTAACCTTCTAAAAACAGAGAGAAACATTAAATTTATGCTAACTCCTAAATTACATAGAGCTTTATCAAAATAAGAGCTACCTATAGTATAAGGAATAGTAAAACTCCCTGGGTCTTTAAGTTTTGGGGTAGCTTTTTCAAAACGATTGCGGAACATTCCTCATTAAGCCTTATAGTTTCAAATTCCTCTAACCTTTTTTTATTGCTTAATATTTCCTTGAGAAACTTAGCATATTTAGGCATTTGAGAAATGGCCTCCACAAAGGGTATGTTGATATGCAACTTCTTTAAAATTTCAAAGAATTTGTTGAACTGTGGGTCCCTCTGACTGCTTCTCAACCTCTGCGAAAAAAGGATTTGAAGTTCTTAAGGCCTAGACATTGTTGATGGTGCTTCTTTCTTTTCTAGTTCTATTTCTATGATGTCAGCGTGACCATGTATATGAGAGAGCACAGGCGTACATATAGTGGTATTTTGTGACTTTGGCATGTTTTCAGGCAATGTCTTTCCATTTCTCAATGTAATTGCCTTGGCATGTTCTTTGGAATTAGGCTCAGGCTGGGAGGGCAATGTCCCTAGCGCTCTTTGAGTCAACAAATTTGTAAGTTGTCCCAGTTGTGATTTTATCTCGAGTGTTTTAGAGCTTATTTCTGAAAACTTCTTGTCCATTGTTCGGGCTTATTGCTCTATCTAAAGACTTTGTTGTTCCATTTAGGACTCAAGCTTTGAAATCCTCTACTCTAATTGAAAGGTTTAGGGCTCTCTCCTTTCTTTAGTCCTTGAGATTGCATATAGAGAGACTAATAAGCATTTGAATTTTGACCTCCTTGACTATTCTCCCATATGAGTTCGTGGGTTTGCTATGCCATCTAGAATTATAACTGTTGCCCAAAAAGTTAGCCTCCTTGGTCTCTAGAGATTTTGTTGATTGATCTTGGGCCCTTAGTAAGAATTCTATTTGCTTTGACAGAGTTTCCAGCTTATTTGTAATTGAATCACTACTTTCTGCCAGGTAGATTGAAGCGACTTCCTTCTTTTTGCTTCTATAATAGTCTGTATGCCATTGAAAATTACTAGATGCTATCTTTTCTATCAATGTATGAGCTGTAGTTGGCCCCTTGCATAAAAAGGATCCTTCAACAACTGCATCGATTGTAGCTTTATTAGAAGATGAGAGTCCAGCATAGAAAATTTGCATTTACTTCTACACAAGGAAACTATAATGTGGACATCTCTTTAGAAGTTCGCCAAAGCGCTCATATGTCTCAAATAGAGATTTAGACTCACATTGTTGAAAATTAGATATCTCTGTCATTAGTTTCGTAGTGAGTGATGGTGGAAAATATTTAGCCAAGAACTACTGGGTTAGGCCATCCCACGTTGTAATTGAATTTGATGGAAGTTTAGAGAACCATGCGTTCACCCTTTCTGTGACAGAGAATGGAAAGAGGCGAAGCCTTATAGCATCTTTGGTGACACCGTTGTATTTGATGATATTCGTGAGTCGGAAAAAATTTTCAGATAAAGGCGGGGTCTTCATTAGGTCACCCCGAAAACAGTGTGGAGTTCTGAACTAGATTGATCAAGGCCAACTTTAATTAAAAATTATTGGCCTCTATGTCAGGTGCTACAATGCTCTCGGCATCACCCTCAGCAGATGTCATATACTCCAAGATTGGTCGTTCTTCTGCCATCTTTTTCTTTTCTCTATAGTCCTTCCTTAGCCTACATGCAGTCTTCCTGATTTCTGGATCAAAAGCGAGTTCTGCAATAGGTTTAGAACGAGTGAGCATAAAACAAAATAAAAATAAAAATGTTTAAATCAACTAAATACTTGATTATTTTTTATATTGAAAACTAATTTCCGACAATGGCGCCAAAAACGTGTTCGTAGGCAAGTGTACCTATCAAAAAGTAATAAAGGATTTTTGAATTAATAGTTTCCAAATTATCATCTCACAGAGATTATTTTCAAATACAAATAATAACTTAATTTGATTGTTTAAATGTAACGGATCAAAAATAGAGCTTAATTTTAATAATAAATTAAAATAATAGTAATACAATGTATAAGAAAGATCGGATGAGATGAGCCTAGAACTTATAGGTTCACTTACTACACTTCTTTATATTCTATTAACACCCAATGATTATGCAATGTCAATATATTTTTTCCTAAGCAAACACCCCCAATGATCATGCAAGGTAATTGGTCGAGAAGGCATAAAGATTCTATGACTTTGTTAATTCAATAACGACTAAAAGAAATGAATTAAGTGTGATTAACCTAGTCCCTTATCTCGTTTTATCCTATAGTTTCGTTAATTACACGTGGTATGATCGCCTATAATGCAACTAACTATGAGATGCTAAGGGTGATCAAATCTTAACATACACAATATAATCCAATAGAATAAAACCAAATATTAAAGGAAAACCAATACCAACATTAAAGTAAAAATCACATAAAGTTTGTAGTAGGATTTACCATAGCCCTAGCTATAGGTTTAGTTTCTCATAAAAAATAAACTACGAAGAACGTGTTAAATAAACCCATAACCACAAAGGAAAACTCAAACAAAAGAAATTCAAAAAGGTAGAAGATGAAGAAAGTTCTCGTTCTCCGAAGGGGCGCTTAATCACTTACTTGGACTCCAAGGGAAAACTCATCGTCCCTGCCAATGGTCTCCAATGATTCTCAAAGATGAGTTTGATTAGAACTAAAAAAAGGAAGAAGGTGTGTAGAGAAGTAGAAGTGTCTCAAATGTGAAGCATAAGGCCTCTTTATATATGTTGTGCCTTGAGTTTCCAGTCGGTTGAGCTCTATTTTTCAAATCAATTTTATCCATAATCAGAATCGCTCCAAATCGTCATATCTAAGTTAAAATTTTAAATTCAAAATTCAAATTCACATAGCACTGTCAAGGACTAAAAATATCTAATTTTTATCCAAAATATCTCCATAATACACTAGTAATAACTTTAAGCTAAACTGCAATAATTGCATATATATATATATATATATATATATATATATAAATAGAGTTTAAGTGTATAAATATAAGTCATAAAATATATCAAAATATGAATTTATCACATACTTAGCTTCCAACACTCGCACCCACAGTGAATGTAACATCCTACTTTTAATTTTTTAAAAATAGATAATAATTTGTTATGAAATAAAGGGATAAACGGATTTTACTTAAATTATGTAATATATTCACAAATTTACACAATATAATAATCAAAATGTAGCTATAATTTGATAATTATACTTATAGTAAAATAATATAAAGTGTGCAAATACCAAATCTAAGTTATACGAGAAAGTATACCTTTTACAAACTATTAACAAGTACATCTTAGATTTAGAATACATAATTACAAGTCAAAATAAGAAAAGTTTTAAGAGCAATTGTGATCTATGGTCAAAACACTGAGAGTCTGATCTTAATCATCATTCATGTTCCTTGAAATATTTGTAAGGATGAGTTCCTTTCTCATCATTAAAACATAAACAACATATATACATAAATCTATTTACAACTTCATGTTTATATAAAATCAATTAAAATACCATATCATTAGTATGACTCAGCACATCAGCACTTTACATGTATTAGTAATATAACAAATTCACTTCATTCTCAATTAAACAATTTTTCATACATTGTGATCATAGTTCATAGTTACCTCCAACATTTCCTGAGGTCTTATACAATGGGTAAATAACTGCTGGTTAGCCTATGCATACAGATACAATGTACATACTTATAAGGTCCCTTAGCAAAAGTATAGTCAGACGTGTTAGTCAGGAAACTAATGTGTGGCCATGTGATGCATTCGTGTAACACCTTAAATTAATTTTTAAGTAATAATTTAGCAAAATGGGAGTAATAAAATTTTTATTTAAATAAAAAGATCTCATCATAGAGTTTCATAAAACAGTTCAAAACAATAAAGGATTACAAATTTAGATCAAGGACTAATTCAGTTACATCATAATTTCAAAATACAATCTAAGTCCTATAGCAGTTCATCCTTCCTTCACTAAGCCTGATCCTTTCCCCTAATTTTTAACCACAGAGCCATATGATCTGACTTTGAAATAGGGAGATGAATAACTGAACTATTAGAGAATAACATCCTCCAAGAGTCATTAACTACAACTCTATCAATTCTCTCTTAATATCACCCCTGTGCCAGGTGAAGGGATTTTCCTTAAAACCCAAATCCTGGAGCTCACAGGTATTAAGACAAGCGGCAAACTGATTAAGAAGATTTATATTAACAGGCTTGCCCCCATATTTTTCTTTTTCAAGGAGAACAGAATTAAAATCTCCAGCCAAGCACCAAGGGCAGTTCACAGTAGAACTAAAGTTAATAAGAGACTCCCAGCATTGAGCTCTAAGCCCTTCCTGAGGACTGACATAGACAGAAGACAGGATCCAATAATTGTGATCAAATTTAACCCTTAAGTGGATAAAAAACTTATTCTTTTCTAAGAAATCAACCTTGATTTTCCTAGAATTCCAACAAACCCAAATTTCCCAGAGAAACCCACTACATCAACTTTAACACAACCATCTAGATTAAATCTTTTAATAACTGCTTCAGCTTTGCTAAGATTAATTCTTGGTTCAAAAAGGGCCAGAAAGTCCAGATGATGAAGCTTAATAAGGTCATTTATAAGCCTAGGGAAGGTCTTTTCCCCAGCACCCCTACAATACCAAAAAAGGAAATTCGTGAAATCAGTTTTCAAGATTGGACACATCCTTAGGATGCTGGGATAATCCTAAATTCTCAGAGTCAGAGATATTACTGTCAGGTATATTTAATTCCTAATTTTTTCCTATATCTAGATCCATTAAAAGAGTCCTATCGGTGGTCTATCAATAGGGTCCAGGTAAGGAATTTCATTTCCTTTCCAAATAAAGTCAGGATTAAGTCTTATAATGTCTTGAATGTTATGACTAACATTCTTATTCTTTTCTAGAATTTTCGCATAAGTGCTCATTAAAAACATAGTTTCCTAGTCCTCCTTACTAGGTTGGAAAACCTGAGTATTTTGATCCTTACTTATGATAGTGTCTTGGTTTTGTATAAGTCTTAAATCCTTGCCTTTACTAGTACTTCCATTTTTAAAATTCAATTTATTTTTGCCCCCTCGCTTGCCAGTATCATTAGTTTTGATAGAATTATTAGGCTTGTTTTGCTGCTTAGAAACTAAGTGATCTTGAGTACTAGAGGACTTATTCTGAAATGATTCTGAACATTCAAAACTGTTATTTTCTGCTTCCTGATCTATATCCTTAGTATTAGCACTTAAAACATCAAACCTGGATCTAGATACAATATCCTTTACATTCCCATTTTTGGAATTAATCCCAAGACCTGCTGGGAAATTAGTCCTTCTCCTAAAATTTTTCTTTACTAGCATCCATGGACCAAACAGGTCTTCCTCCTTCCTATCTTCATTAGTAGGTGCATCTATTATCATATTCTTATCCATGCTAGCACAGTTACCTAGACCACCTTTCTTTCTATCAACAATAATTGACATACAAAACTCAGTCTCTATATGTTGCTGACTAGGTTTGACAGACTTTGCACATGTCTCCTGGTGATGACCATATTTACCACAACTGAAACAAATCAAATGTAGCCCCTCATACTCAACCTTAAATTCTTGCCCTAAGGCTTTGAAAGCTGGGATCAGCTGCTGCTTGAGATCTATTTCTATACATATCCTAGCGAACTTTCCCCTAGAGAGAAGCGATGTATAAGGATCAACTTTTAACATAGAACCCAGACAAGAACCTACCCGCCACAAGAACTTATTATATAATTCTAAAGGCAAATCAAGAATCCGAACCTAGACCGCGATACACTTAAGATTATAATTTTTAGTTCTAAAAAGATGTCTCCACCTTTGGACTAAAAGGTAGTGGTCCAGAATCAACCATGGCCCCTCAAAGAGAGCCAGTTTATAATCCTCTATACTTTCAAATTTAATAAGGAAGAACTCATTGTTTAAATCTAAGATTGTTATGGACCCATTTTTGCCCCAGAGACTATTTAATTTCTGATTAAGATAGTTAAAACTAACAGTTTTACCAAAAAGCTTCACTATTAAGGTGTACCTCCACGACACACACCACCCCTCATAGTCCTCTAGAGGGACCTTGAGATCCGGACACAGATTTTGAATAGTATTATGAACAGGCCATTATCTTCATTCTCATCCAAAATATTAAAGTCATCTAAAATTGATTTTATGATTTCAGCATCATTTAAACTGAGATCTGAGTCATTTAC